ATACCCTGTATGGATTGTCTCAGGATTTACATAAGCGAGACTGGTAGAGCTTTTGAGAAAAGAATCAATTCATATAAACGTGATGTTAGATATGCCAGAGATTCAAATGCGTGTTTCGTTCATTTGCGTGATGAAGGTCACCAGCTTAACTGGAAAAAAACGCTAAATTAATTCATAAATCAGCTAATTCTTTTGAAAGGAAAATGATAGAATATCCGTTAATTAGAAAAATGCTTAACTTTAACTTGAGTGTTGGTCAATGGGGCTTGGATGACCTTACCTCCTCGCTTGTTAGCAAAGCCTTCCCTAGACTCTTCGACCTTGACCCTCCTCCTGAGACCTGATTCTTCTCTTGTTCGTTCTGTCTCTCAACCACTATATATTCTTGTCAAAATTCTCTCCTTGTATCCATTTTGGTATATCATTCGTCTGAAGAGGAACTCGTGAAGAGTTCGAAACGTTACGATTCATATTCATTTCTTACTGTGGCTGTTTTCCTTTCATATACATGTATATATATATATATATATATATATATATATATATATATATATATATATATATATATATATATATATATATGTATGTATATGTACGCACAATCTATATGTCTTAATGTGTATACAAATATATATATACATATATATATATATATATATATATATATATATATATATATATATATATATATATATATATTATATATATATACATATATATATATATATATATATATATATATATATATATATATATATATATATATATGATATATACATATATATATACGTATGTATGTATATATGTATATATATATATATATGTATATATATATATGGGTGTGTATATATATATGTATATATATACTGCCGCGATAGCTCAGTGGTTAGAGCACTGGACTCCGACCCTCGTGGTCCCGGGTTCAATTCCCCGTCGCGGCGGTCGAAAAAATGTCTGCGCTCTGACTGCTACCTCGAGCCCGGGAAAACGACATATCGGCTTGAGAAATCAAACGCAGGTGTCGTAGGGGAAGTCACCGCCGTGTTAACGCGCCGAGCCGCGGTTGATTAGGAAGGGCATTAATTCAGGCAAGGGTGACACTGCCATATAACCTCTCAATACTGAATTGAGAGAGGCCTATGTCCTGCAGTTGAATGAATGGCTGTTAAAAAAAAAAAAAAAAAAAAAAAAAAAAAATATATATATATATATATATATATATATATATATATATATATATATGTATATATATATATATATATATATATATATATATATATATATATATGTATGTATGTATGTATATATATACATATATATACATATATATATATATATATATATATATATATATATATATATATATATATATATATATATATACATATACATATATAAATCAATATATGTATATATATATATATATATATATATATATATATATATATATATATATATATATATATATATATATACATATATACATATATATATACATATATATAAATACATATTTATAAATACATATATACATTATATACATTTATATATCTATATCTGTATAAATCTATCCCTCTATCTATGTATATATATATATGTATATATATATATATATATATATATATATATATATATATATATATATATATATGTATACACATATATATATCCCTATCTATCTATATATATATATGTATATGTATGAATAAGTTTACACACACACACACACACATATGTATATATATATATGTATATATATATATATATATATATATATATATATATATATATATATATATATATGTGTGTGTGTGTGTGTGTGTGTGTGTGTGTGTGTGTGTGTATGTATATGTATGTATGTATGTATGTATGTATATATATTCACACACGAGCTCACGAACTGATATTATTTGGTCTATGTTCAGACAAAAGGGAGTCTTTTTGCAGCATCTGAATTTCTCATCTTGCAAAGTGACAAGCATGTTAACCTGTGGCACACTGTTGCACGCTTGTTGCATTCAACAAGCCACTGCATTGCTGCTTCTGGTTCCCCTGTAGAGTGGCACTCCGTGACAGGTTAAGACTCCACGTTCACACTCCAGCTATGTAGAACAGCGAGTCAAAATGCATATTCATCTATAAGACACGCTGAACATTCCCTCGTCGTTTGAAGTGTAGTCCTATTTTCTCTCAGGTCGGGCGATTGGTTCTCTTGAAGATCATTATGAATTTAAGTGTCTATTTACCTCTTGAAGCGGGAATGTTATTATGCAAATGGCACTGTCATAACAGGAAAATAATGTGAAATGTGGATCTGTGGCCCAAGTTTAGCGTCTCTGGGAACTGATCTTACTGTGTTTGTACATTATCTACCGTGCATATTTATCTTTCTACATCTATATCTGTCCATCTCTCTCGCTCTGTGTCTGTACGGTGTGTTTTGTTTGCGTGTATGTATACATATATGTATACGCACAGACACACACACACACACACACACACACACACACACACGTATATATATATATATATATATATATATATATATATATATATATATATATATATATATATATATATATATATATATATATATATATATACATAGATATACATATATATACATATGTATACATATACATATATATATATATATATATATATATATATATATATATATATATATATATATATATATATATATATATATATATATATCGAAGGCCACCATCACACACTGTCGACTATGTCTCAACCCACTCCCGTATAGGTAGAGTTAATGCAAAAGAATGAGGAACAAACTGTTGCCCAAGCAGCAGGCTCCCTCTGTTCACGCAGTTGATGGACCCAAAGCAAGTAGAACAATGAAGGGAAGTACAGGAAATCACACGAATATGCGAAAATGCTAAATTCATGTGTTTCCTGTACTTCCCTTCATTCACTTCGACATGAATTCCACATGGAGCCAAAGGAACGGCATAGACCGATACAGTTTGGCAGAGTTGCCATAACGAGGTCGCAAGTGACAGCAAACTTCCTCAGTCCGCGTATGGTCAAAGGCTATATGTATAAAAATATATTCATATACACACACACATACCCACACACACACACACACATACGTATATGTATAGATATATAGATAGATAGATAGATAGAGATAGAGATGTAGATACATAGACAGAGAGACAGATAAATAGTTAGGTACATAGGCAGATAAATAGATAAATTGACAGATAGATAGATAGATAGATAGATAGATATTTGAATAGAAAGACAGACTGATAGATAGATAGATAGTGAAATAGCAGAAACATCGATAGGCAGCCTGACAGACAGATAGATAAAATAGATAGATAAAAAATAGCTAAACGAATAGAAAGATAGAAAGTGAGAGAGGCTAACAGACAGACAGATAGATAAAATAGATAGATAAAAAAATAAATATAAAGAGATAGATAAATAGACATATATAAAAAATATAGATAGGTTGACAGATAAATATAAAGAGATAGATAAGTAGATAGATAAATAATATCACATTGCTACCAGTACATATGTCGATATGCAAGGGAAACCGTATCACATTTTCTTTCCTCCGAAAATATATAGAGAAAGTGCAACGTTGGTTCTCGTCTAGAGACTATTTCAAGAGCTGCATTTTTATACATCTGTCATTTAATGAGGGACTCTTGGATGCAGTAGATATATTTACAAGGCATCATAACTTAACAGCGACTTTTATTCTTCGGAAATGACAAAACATCGTAAATGAAGTACATCACATTAAGAAACGGACGAGGTCAGCGAGACGGTCACCTCAGACAGAATGTGGTCACCGCAAGCCAAAATGGCTCATAAGGGATATATCAGTGACGTTAACAGAAAAGTGCGTGGGTATCCCTGGTATGGTGAGCCCGTTGTAGAACCAAAATGAAGCCGCTGTGTAAGAGGCAAGATGCACTCCTTTGCATTTCAGGGGCCTTGCTCGTTACTCTTCGTTTCTTCCAAACGAATAGTATGGATAGGTATTTAACACCCTGCCCCATTTTTTTTTTTTTTTGCATTATAATGCATTGCAAAGTGTACCGAATTAGAGAGAGAGAGAGAGAGAGAGAGAGAGAGAGAGAGAGAGAGAGAGAGAGAGAGAGAGAGAGAGAGAGAGAGAGAGAGAGAGAGAGGAGAGAGAGAAAGAGGAGAGACAGAGAGGAGAGAGAGAGAGAGAGGGGAGAGAGAGAGGGGGGGAGAGAGAGAAGAGAGAGAGAGAGAGAGAGAGAGAGAGAGAGAGAGAGAGAGAGAGAGAGAGAGAGAGAGAGAGAGAGAGAGAGAGAGAGAGAGGAGAGAGAGACACACAGAGAGAGAAAGAGAGAGAGAGAGAGAGAGAGAGAGAGAGAGAGAGAGAGAGAGAGAGAGAGAGAGAGAGAGAGAGAGAGAGAGAGAGAGAGAGAGAGAGAGAGAGAGAGAGAGAGAGAGAGAGAGAGAGAGAGAGAGAGAGAGAGGAGAGAGAGAGAGAGGAGAGAGAGAGAGGAGAGAGAGAGAGAGAGAGAGAGAGAGAGAGAGAGAGAGAGAGAGAGAGAGAGAGAGAGAGAGAGAGAGGAGAGAGAGAGAGAGAGAGAGAGAGAGAGAGAGAGAGAGAGAGAGAGAGAGAGAGAGAGAGAGAGAGAGAGAGAGAGAGAGAGAGAGAGAGAGAGAGAGAGAGAGAGAGAGAGAGAGAGAGAGAGAGAGAGAGAGAGAGAGAGAGAGAGAGAGAGAGAGAGGAGAGAGAGAGAGAGAGAGAGAGAGAGAGAGAGAGAGAGAGAGAGAGAGAGAGAGAGAGAGAGAGAGAGAGAGAGAGAGAGAGAGAGAGAGAGAGAGAGAGAGAGAGAGAGAGAGAGAGAGAGAGAGAGAGAGAGAGAGAGAGAGAGAGAGAGAGAGAGAGAGAGAGAGAGGAGAGAGAGAGAGAGAGAGAGAGAGAGAGAGAGAGAGAGAGAGAGAGAGAGAGAGAGAGAGAGAGAGAGAGA